GAGAGGGACCTCAAATGTCAAGTCAACAAGCATTTATTCAGTGTCTACTGTGTGCTGGGTATTGTACTATATGCTAGGGATATAAATCCAGAACTGATCAGGAATCCCATCTTTGGCAATCCTGTCAAGTCCTCATGTAGCCTCTACTGAAGATTTATATTGAGGGGCAACTCTCTGCCTTCATCATGATCCCACCCCATTTTGGACAGCTCTGATTGTTAGAAAGTGTTTTTGTCCGTCAGTTCACACTCTGCCTTTCTGAAACTTCTGCTCATAGAGATATTACAAACCAAATGCTTGCTGCTATGGGTATTTTTTTACATCCTCCCCCTCAAATATGTTAGGGTAGGAAGCAAGGGAAAGTGGCCCAGAGGATCAGACCAACCCTCACATTTTTTCCAACCTCTTCTTTTGAGGTCACTACGGCTCTATAATCTATTGAAGACAATTTACACAAAGTAGAACTGTGGGTTCTGAAAAAAGGTTGGGTGGGAAATATGGTAAGTGGGAGTTTACTTCCTGTTAAACATCATACCACAATATCTGCAGCTGAAAGTGGTTAAAAATACAATGAGACTGAATCGTGTTACAGGTGGGCTGAAAGCAATGAATGCAAATAACTTTGGTAGTATCTAGGCCAGACTGGCTGGCATTTGTGCCTATCTGTAACTTTAGACTAGGAGCTCCTCATTATATACATACATATGCTCTATATACATATATATACACCCATATACACATGTATATATGCATATACACGTAACAAACACAATACACAAATATATTCAGATATGCATGCATGCCTGTATGTATACACGTGTATATAGGCATGCATACTGCAATACATGTATATTCATGTACATATACTGGCTTAGACATACATGTGTATGCATATGAGCATATTCCTATGCCTATGTGTATACATGCTTGTATATATATACTTATGTGTGTATATGTATGTGTGTGAGTGCTATAGTACCACATGTAGTGGCTCATGCTGCCACCACTGGCCTATGTGTACATGTATGCATGCAAGTATATATATATGTATATATGTATATATATACATACATATATATATATATATACACACACACACACACACACACACACACACATAATTAAAAGAACACAAATATGTTTCCTCCATCTGTGGGCACAATCCCACCCATTCTCAAATCCCATTTGTGGTCCTAGGTAGGAAGTAAAGAAAGAGTTCAGAATGTAATTGATTCAGTAATAAGCTTGCTGGTGACCTGTGCCTGGTACCTAGTCATTTTGCTGAGTTCTTAACCTTTATTACCCACAAGCTTGCTTGGAATGATGATGAAGATGATGATGATGATGGCTAACAAGGATATTACACTAATTACCCTAGTATTAGAATCACAGAATCTTGGTGTCAAGAGGGACTTTAGATGTGAAGTCAACTCAAGCACTGAAGCTTTAAGATTTGCAAAGCACTTTCCATATATTATCTCGCTTGATCCTTATAAAAACCCTATGAGGCAATTCTAATATCACTATTTTATAGATGAGGAAACTCATCTATAAATCTAAGATTAAGTGACTTACCCAGGGTGACACAGCTAGTGTTTGAGGCAGCATTGAAATTCACACCTTGACTATCTACTCCATTTTGATTCCTGGCCTCTTGAGTTGGACTCGCCCTCATGCACGCACATAGATTCTTGTGGTCCTAGAAGCCTGCCTTGTGCCTACCTATCATTTGATGCTCACAGACTGCAGTTTACAATCATAGGGACAGAGGTAGAACTGACAGCAGCACATACTGTGGCTCATGCTGCCACTGATGGCCACTGATGAACAAAAATCTACAAAGTCAGCAGCAGAAAGTCAACCTCCACACAGCCTACATCAGCTCCAACTCCCTCAATATTCCGGGGGACAAGCCATCCAACACTCAGCAGAAGGAATTAGTGAAATCTTAAGAAGTGAAGCTTTAGTGAAGCTATCACAGCTGTCCTTAATCGCCTGGAGAGCCCTGCCAAGGACGAGGGATTACATTTATTCTGCTTGCCCCCAGAGGAAAAATTGTAGAGCCGTGGGTGGAAGGCAATTGCTGAGTGGAAGATTTTGGCTTGACAGGAGAAATTTATAACAATTGGAGCTCTCTGAACGTGGAACAGAGGAAGTCTTCGACAGAGACTGGACATCCCCTTTGGGGAGATATTGTAGAGGTGATTCCAGCGGAGGAGTAGGTAGGATTAGATGACCTCTGAGATGCCTTTGTAACTCAGATTCTGTTAGTCTGTTTTAGGTTCTGACAAAAGTATCTTTATAATAAACTCCCCAGCACACTGTTTCATTGTGAAATAGAATTTTAGGAAAATGAATAGTCATTGTTTGGGATCACATTCTCTTCCAGGACCAACAAAAGAACTAGCATTTAGCTCTGTCATGAAATAGCAAATGAATATAAATTCTGCAAGACTCATAGGAAAGACAACACTCTTCCACCCACATCCCACCCACATTCTTTTAGTGCTCTTTCCTTCCTCAGATGTCAGCAAGCACTTGGTTTGCACCTCTCTTATGTGCTTGCCTTGTTCAGGTTTATACTTTAGCTAGCTATCGTTGTCTGTGACCGGTTTCCCCTAGACGTATGGCATCATGTGTTTGCTGAAAAATTGAACTGAATCAGAGACCTCCTAGGGCTCTTGTGGCAGTGCTTGTTTTCCTGCATATTTGATGGGTCCCATTGTGTGAGAAGCTGGTAGATTCAAGGTGGGCTTGGAGGAAGGAAGATAAAACTTAAAGAACAATCTCTTACTTAATGATAGGACAAAAGAAAAGGAAAAGCTTAGCTGTTTTGGCCCAGCAAACAATGCAAATAGGGCAAAAATTCATTGAATCATTGACCCGCAGAATTGGGAGGCATCTGTGAGGCCATCTAGTTTGATCTACAGCCCTGAAATCTTTCTCATGGGGTACTATGATCAGTAATCCCAATACCGATGAGACGCTCTTCAGCAATTTAGAACCCAGGCCACATGGGCAGATTTGGGTCTAGTGGGCCTGGTATGTAACTAGATGCAACTTGTGAAGTCACAGTTTCTTTTGTGAATAACCATGCGGAAAGTAAAGTGGAGAAGTAGCTTATGGTGGATATGGTTTCAAATCACATTATATATAAATGCTCTTATTTTTATCCTCACAACTAAGCTAGAAGGATAGGAAATGCAAATGTTATTACCCCTACCACTTTTTTTTTTTCAGGTGAGAAAACAGAGACTCAGAGAGGTTAAATAAATAGAGCAAAACCACAGCAGAGCAGGTACTCAAGTAGTTACTCTAGGCACAATTAATGTTCTTTCCACTGAACCAGGCTGAATTCTGCAAACAATTCACCATTTGAGTCATCAGCAGTTTGTCTATTGCATGGATTCTTGACCTGGGATCTGTGAACTTTTAAGAAATATATTTTGATAATTATAATTATAAAGTTGTGATTGTATTTCAGTATAATTGATTTCCCTTATACGCCTATGTAATTTATTTTATGCATTTAAAACCATTATTCTGAGGAGTCCATAGGCTTCATCAGACTGCCAACGGGGTCCATGGCACAAAAAAGGTTAAGAACCCCTGGTCTAGAGCCAGAAGCCTGGGGCTTGGAAGCCTTGATCTTGGAGAAGATACATTCCAGTCCAGCGGCTTTAGAGGAAGGGGATATGGGAGAATCCCATGCTCTGTTGAAGTGCCACTCTCTTTCCCTCCTTAAGTCACTTAATTAGTCAATAAACACTTGTTGTTCAGCTTTGTCTGACTCCTCATTACCCCATTTGGGGTTTTCTTGGCAAAGATACTGGAGTGGTTTGTCATTTTTTTCTCCAGAAATAAACATTTATTAAACACCTACTATGTGTCAGGCACCGTGCTAAGACCTGGAGATACAAAGAAATGTAAAAGACAATCTAACAGGGGAGAGGACACGCAAAGAACTATTAAAAATATGTGGGATAAATTGGAGATAATCAACAGAGGGAAAGCACTAGAATTAAGGAGCATCAGGAAAGGCTTCCTGTGGAAGGTAAAAGTTTAGCTGGGGTTTGAAGGAAGTCAGGGAAGCTATGGAGGTGGAGGTGAAGAGAGAGTGAAAACCAGTGAAACCAGTGAAAACGGCAAAATGTCCTGAGTCGGGAGACGTAGCTTAAGGAACAGCAAGGAATTCAATGTCACTGGGTCACTTGGGCAGGAAGAGCTACAAGGTATAAGAAGACTGGAGAGGTTGAGTGGGGAGGGACATGGTAGGAAGAGCTTTTGAGCATCAAACAGAGGATTTGATCTTAGAGGTGACAGGGAGCCACCGGAGTTTATTGAGTAGGGAGTTGTCCTGGTCAGACTAGGGCTCTAGGAAAATCAGTTTGACAGCTGATCTCACACACACACACACACACACACACACACACACACACACAAGTTGTAGGGCTCAGCCTGATGGCTTTTGATGCAGGGAGAACAGCAGAGCCCTCACTGACCGTACAGACGAGGCTGCAGCAGCACCCTTCCCCCGTTGTCACCACTACTGTCCAGCTCTCCCTGGGACCTGTGGAAAAGTTTGAGAAACTAGCTCTTTCTACGCTCACACCCGCTTTCAGTTCCCACTCCTTGACTTTTCCCCTATACTGCCTACCTCCTATCCCTTCCCTCAAGTTGATCACTTTATTAAAGAGTATCTATTGGGTGGATAGGGAAAAGAGAAAGCATTTGTATGGTTTTATGTATTAGTAAACTCATATAAGGGACATCTAGATGGTGTGACTTATAGAGTTTTGTATTTGGAGTCAGGAAGGCCTGTGTTTGAATCCTGCCTCAGACACTTACTAGTTGCATGGCCTTGGGAAAGTCACTTGAGCTCTCTTAGGCTCTGTTTTCTCATCTGTAAAATGAGAATAATAATAATAATAGTACCTATCTCATAGGATCAAATGGGATGACATTTTGCAAACTTTAAAGCACTACGCAAATTATACATGTTGTTGTTGTTGTTGTTATTTTATTATTATAAAGCAGCCATAATAGAATGAAGCATCTTGGGCTTTAACCCAAGGTGCTAATGTCAAGGAAGAGAAGGAGGAAGCAGAGTTTCTTAGTGGAGGAGTTCTTCCATTGGTTAATCCAAAAACCATTGACCCTACAATTCATGTGTCTCTGCCCTATGGTAGCCTGTGCTAAACTTTACTCTAGACCCTTTGACCTTACTCCTTCACTCCTTGCAATTGCTCCCCTCTTCTGCCTCACCTTGCTTCCATCCCCCCAACTGCCTTCTGGGCCCTCATCTCCCCTGTCCCAAATATTGATGCTGTAGTGAAAGATTCCTGGCGATGGCTATTATAGGGCTGTAGATTCAGAGCTCAAAGGGACCTAGGAGGCCACTGAATCCAATCCCCTCATTTTACAGATGAGGAAACTGAAACTATTCATTCGGAATTTATTGTGCCCAATTTCACAAAGCCTTCTTTACAGAGACCATCTCCCGTGCCCCTTTGCTAAGAGACTGCTACACTATTGGTGTTCATTGTCCTGGCATTTTAGAACTTTAGGACTAAAATACCCCTTAGGGTCCCCAAGGGAATTCCAAGTCTATGATTCTACAGCATGTAGCCTTGTTTGTCCTTCTAACCATTTAAATATGCTCATTAAACCTACTTGGAAAGATGGGGTCCTTTGAACCTCATTAAGTACTAGTTTATTTTCTTTATTCATAAATGTCTGAAATCATTTAGCTGATCTGGAGTCATATTCCCTTCTGTTAACAACATCTTTCCTGTTCATTTATCTACTTAGGCTCCAGATCTTTAACTGAATTTTCCTCCTCCTGAGATCTTTGGTAATTCCAATCTTTTCCCCCTTATATTCCCTTATTGCTCACTTTCTGATTCCTTCTTTGATTGCAGTTTCCCCTGGGGTCTGGATCTCAAAGACATGGCAGTCTTCTCCCACAGGGAGCAATTCATGTTCACTGAACTAAGTGTTTACCCCAAGGGAATTCAGGGGAAACAGACCGGGCCTCAGCTGGATGCTGGGGCTTTGCTTCAGGCAGGCCTGGTTGAACAAATGTTCCTGCTTTCCTTCCCTCTGTCCCTCAGTTCTCTATGTGAATATTATTGCAGCACATAGCATTGCTGACCCAGCCAGGACAAGCTTCTGTCTTTTGGTTTTCCTCAGCTTTGGAAGGAGGGATGGGTAGAGTTGAATTTTGTGGCAAACCTGGTAGGGGGCTTATGCAGCCCTGACAGCAAAGTTTGGGGAGAGGTGGAAGTTGAGGAGGGAGTACAGAATAAGCTGTCAAGGGGTTAGGGATTAACCTTCTCTGCTATTAGTTCATTCAGTTTTTACCTCCTTAGGGTTCTTGGCGTCCTAGACCACCCATGACAAAATCTGTTCACAGATTGTTTTTGTATGGGCCCACAAGCTAAGAATAGTTTTTGCATTTTTAAATACACGTTTTTTTTTAATGTAAAAAAACCAAAACACTATTCTTAGCTCTGAAGCTGTACAAAAAACCAAGCAGTTGGCTGTATTTGGCAATGGGCCATAGTTTAACCTCTGTCTAGACCATGGAGACATCTGAAATTGTTTCATCTCTTGCCCATAAACCATATTTGGAAAGATTTGAGAGGATGCCACCAAATGACCTCTCATTACAGGTTTACTGGAATGAAAAGTACCATCATTATCATGTTTCTAAGTTAGTAGTTGGAGGGTACATTCCTCCTGTTTAAGTAGGGTGTAGTGAACTGAACCTGAAAACAAATGTTCATTTTCTTCCCTTGATTTCTTGATGAAAATCTCCAAAAAACATAACTTCATCAGTCACATCTCTTGGGTGATATATAGCAAAGGTAAAATTATGTCAAGGTTCTCTTTTTTTCCATCCAAGTGCGAAGACTGGCTGTGGTCTAGATAACCATTGCAGGTGAAGAAGTTTGGTTACTCAGAGACTATGAAACTTCCAGTGAATCTCCAGAGGTGTTCCATATTTGCCACGTGGACTCTTGAGACCCAGCAAAGGATGAACATCAATTTCATTGGAGTGTTTAAGGTCAAAGGATGACATCTCATGGATGGGTTGCCCAGTGGACAGTTGGTTAATAAGAAGTTAGGCAGCCTCTCCTATGGGAAAGAAAGAGCAATCAGAAGCAAATTTAATTCCTCACGCATATGGATGCATATTCTGTAGGTTGCTCTTTCATATGTTCTGCCCTCCTTAAGAAGTTCATTCCATTGGCAGAATGGTTCAGAGAAGCATAGACAATACCAGGCTGATTTTCCTCTGAGCCTTGGTTAGAATAAATAACTTTGGGTCCCACCTGGACCTTAGGCCATACATCATTATAATAAATTATAGTTTCAGATGACAAAGGCAGGGGCCTAGGTAGAGTGGAGTTATGTATTGTGCCCTCGTCAGCTTGGTTGAAATCAAAGGGCTGGCGTGGAGTAACCTGCAAGACAAGAGGATGACTTTCAGTTTCATGTGAGAACGTGATAGCTATTAATCGTACCACTGAGTTAGTGAGCTATAGAATATGATTATTATAATATATCTTTTTTTGGGGGGAGGAAATCAGGGTTAAGTGACTTGACCGGGGTCACATAGCCAGTGTAGAATGTGATTATTATAGAAATGGGGGTTGGGGGAAGAGTATGAAATGTGTTCTGTGCGCTAATAATACCTCCAATGCTATAGAAATTCAGGTAGGTAAAGGATAAAGAGGAGTAAGATAAATATGTACTTAGAAAAGAAAGTCAGTAGAGACATCATTGGGCATTTTTGGTGCTAGCAGTATGCCAAGTCACTTAATTTCCCTACATACCAGTTTCTTTATCTATAAAACAAGTGAGTTGGGCATTCTACTTTCATGTTCATGTTTCTGAACTCTGAAATTACTTTATCTGATCACAATCTGTTTTCATTCCAACTCTCCCACTGTCTTATGTCTCAAATCTTCATTGTGGCCTCCAATCCCTCTACCTCTCAGTTCTTTATCAAGCTATCAACACTGCACCAGCTACACTCTACATTTTGACCCCTTGGTGAACAAGGTCTTCAGTCTCTTGCCCCTTTATTCTATTGCCAATCTCTCTCAACCTTGGATTATTCCACTATCTTTGCTCCTTATGAAACTAGAGAAAATGACAAAACCATACTGAATGGATTCACTAGAAATTTGTTACATAATCTTAACTGGCCCTCACTGTGGCAAGGCAATACCCTTACGTAATCTTAATTGACTCACTATCCCACTCATGGTACTAGCTTTTCCAAATTTTTTCATCCCTCCTCAAACTTCCCATGACTCACTCCCACCCCTCCCCCGTGATCTCATCTAAGAATCTTGACTCATAAGTGAATTAAAAAATTGATGCCATTCACCAAGAGTTCCGTTTTTAGCACCTCTTCACCTCACATTGCTCAGATGCATTCTACCACTATCTCTTCCTCCACCCCTGTCTCACAGAATCAGTTGGCCTTTCTCCAGCAGATTGCCCGTGCTATTATCCCCACTATCTCACTCATCTTTAGTCTTTCTCTGTCTACTGGTTACTTCCTTGGTGCCTACAAACTCACTCATGTCTCACCCCATCCTCAAAAAAAAAAAAACAAAACTCACTTCATCCATCCATCTCTGCTATCATCCTATATCTCTGCTCCCTTTTGTGGCTAAACTTTTTATCTAAAATCAGAGCTGTCACTTCCTTTTATCTCACTCTGGTTCTCTCTCTAGAAGAGGCAGTATGGAATAACAGCTACAAAGCAAACCTCAGAGCCAGGCAGACCTCATCCAGGAGAGATGATATATAGAGCCTTGGGGTGACACTTACCTATAGCAGTGTGAAAGAAAACAAATTAGATAAGATAGAAGTCTCCTTGGTCCTCTTTTCTTCTGCATCTATACTCATTCACTCTCATGGTCTCGACTATCATCTCTATGCCAATGACTCTCCAATTTCAATTGTCAGCCTGGGCATCTCTTCTAAGCATTATATGTGCATTCCCAATACCTTACAGGCATCTCTATATTTATGCTTCACTAGGACCTCAAATTCAACTACAAAATTCAGCTACCAAATGTCCTAAACATGTGTTTTGCTGCCTAAACCTGATACTCACTCTGACTTCATTATTTCTATTTTTTAAAGATAATTTCCTCCCGTCTTCAATCCTTGAAACTCTTGATATTAACTTTGATTTCTCTCTTCCCATCATGGCCATTCATTTATCAATTACTTTACTCATCATTCGATCTGGTGTTATTCCTTTACTTGTCTATACTATTTATTCCCACCTTATCTTTTTAGACTTTTTATCCTAAGCCCTGCCAATTCTGCTAGTTATACTCCAACCAAACTGGATTACTTCCTGTCCTCCAAAATATACTATATATCTTTCTGCCGTTGCGCCTTTTACTGAATGTCTTCTCCTTGGAATTGTCTCCCTCTATGTTGCTTACTTATCCTCAATATCTAACAAATGTTAATTTCTCCTTCTAAGTTTCCCTGATCTCTCCAATTGGTAATGTATTTTTCCCTCTCACACTTGATATATGAGTTCAAATTGATTCTTGTTCTGGTCCCCCTGACCACCACCCTTTCTTCTAGTCAGCATAGTAAATAAATGTATAAGTAGCCAATATAAAGTAGCAAGAGCAGGATAAAAGATTTCAGAGGGGAACCTAGAAGTCATGTACACACCACCCCAAAGATCAAAAGAGCATAATCTACAAATTGTATCATACATTAACCAAAAATCACATATTGGTAATATGTGCTGAATCAGGGGAAGTCATCTAAACTTTACTTTTATGGATTTTTGGTCCTATGATATGTAAATTTCAGACAAGGCCCAGACATATGCAGTAAGCCCAGCAGATCACAGATGTTTTGTGAAGCTAATTTTGAGATGATGTGGACATGTTAACTTTAAAGATTTATTGACAACTTTGAAAAGATTTGGATATGTTAATGAACTAACCCCAAAGTAGTCCAAATAAGAGTTGTTCTGTTCCCACCAAAAACCCTATAAAAGTGAGACCTCAAACTCCTTTCCTTCAAGTCCTCTTCCATTTCCATCAATTCCATGCTGCCAAGTGTTTCCAACTCTAATCCATGGCTATGTGAGTGATTATTTGAGCCTTTTCCCCCTCTCCACCTTCTTCCTCATCACTGACTACCTTCCTGTACCACTCTATCCCTTGTCATCACACCATCTGTCTCTGTGTCCTTTTCAAAGCTTGTATCTGTATTTTCTATGTTGTTTCCCCCTACACCCTCTGTGCCTTCTTAGAATGTGATTGAAGCGGTATTCCCCACTGCCATCATGGCCTTTCCCAGTTTCCAGTTCCCAAAGAACCAGGCATACTTGCCCCATTTAATAATCTTATAAATTAATTATCAATTCAACCTAGGTTTCACTATGCATCTTTCTAACGTAGTTATCATGTGTGTGTCATATCTGCTATTAGATTGAAGGACCATGACTTATCTAAACTTTATATTTCCCACAGCATATAATGGAACTCTTTATATGGTAAATGTTGCCTAGTAAATGTTTGTGGAATTGAATTTCCTGAAAGCCTTTTGTTTATGTAAGAGAACCTCTCCTCAATTCTACATTGACTCCCTATGTAATCTCCTCTACTTCCACTGATTCAAAAGAAATCCTCAAATAAATGACTCAAATATCTAGCCTCAACTCCTAACCTCCTGTCCAGCATTTCTGCATGCCTGCTGGATATCCTCATGTGTGTGTACTACCAATACCTCAAAACTAGCACATCCCAAAGAGAGTCTGTCCTCTAATTCCTGAATCATCTTTACCCCACAATATCCCTGGTCTTTTAATGGAATCCTTTTCTTCCCACTCATTCATATTTAAAATGTTAAACTCATCTTTAGCCCTTCCCTATCCCTCAGGACCCACATCCAATCAATTGTTGAGTCTTATTAATTCTATCATTGTACTCTCCCCATCTGTCTCTTCCCTTCTGTTCATACTATCACCACCTTAGAGGAGATCCACATTATCTTCCACTAAAACTATTAAACAATCTTTCATCTGGTCTCTTTTCCTGCTATTCTCTGCCCCCACATTCTAGTTTTTACAGAGCAAACAATCTTCCTAATGTGTTGCTCTGATCTAGACTTTGAATGTTAGAGATGGAAGGGACCTGAGAAGACATCTTGTCCCACTTCCTCCTTTTACAGATGAGAAATCTAAGGTTCAAAGACTTGCAGTGAATCGTTCAGAGTAACACAGCCAGTGGTGCAAACCCCCAGTTTCCTGACTGGATATGAGTCAAATAGTCTCTCTTCAGGGTGACTCTAACAACAGCATACTAGCAACATCCCACAGGACTGTAAAAGCCATATTTCTTATCACTCCCATGCCAAAAGTTTTTTTAAAAAAAGCCCTATAATGGCTCCATGTTACCTGAAGAATTAAATTTGAACTCCTCAGTACGGAATCCAAGGCTATCCATAATATAACCTCATCCTATTCTCCATCGTTATTCTCCTTCACTCCTCCACCTCAGCCTCATGCACTCTATATTCACTCTTCTCTGAACATATCCCATGCTTACAATTCCAGGCATTTCAGTTCAACAGCTTTGCTATTCCCTTCTACTTGGAGTGGCCATCTCCGCACCTGCACCTGTCAGTGTCTTGCTCATTCTTCAATATCAGCCTGAAATAATATGCCCTCCATGATGATTTCCCAGCATCTTCTCTAATTTCTAAGAGTATGGATTTAGAGAGGAAATAAGCAACACCATCACTTTGCCATTGTGAAAACTGAGGCCCAGAGAGTTAAAGCGACTTTTCCAGGGTCATATAGCTAGAAGGTGGCAGAATTAAGATCCAAATCCAGATTCTAGAATGGCAAATTCTATATTCTTTGCTCTATGCATGCCTTACTTCCTCTTTTCAAACCTCAAAGCATTGTGCCCCTCCCTTATGGCACTTTTTACCTTACACTGTACTTATTTGTGTATTTTTCTTAGTGTTTCCATGTAGGAATTTCTTTCCAGCATTTCTCAGGAAATGTATGATTTTCTGAATCACAAATACTGAGAAAAATAGATGGAAAAATCAGGGAAAAGTATTATAATTCT